TTGTGCCTTAGCGTACAATGGCCATTTTAAAAAAAATTTGGTTCCATACCATTAGACACCTAAATAAAGTTCTTGAATTTTGGGAGATGGTGAGCAGAGATGTGGGTTTACTGGAAAATTTTGAATTGGAAAATGCTCTAAATAGAGCATAATCTGATTTAGCATGTTTATTTGACTTATATTTGACTGACATTCAGTAAACAAAACTAAAAATGTTAATTTTATGTCCCAATAGCCACAAGTATTTGAACTGAAATATTTGATTAGGAGAAAAAAATAAATACAGCATACTTAATGTGGTTTAAATGTTATATTCAAACAAATTCAAAGCTTTATGTGGAAAGAGATTATTTTATTGTAAAAACGTAAAGACAATACACAATAGCATGTACTCCCCTTGCGTTGTTTGTTTAAATTTTAAGAAAAAAAAGCCAAGTCACTGAAAACTGTTGACACACTAGTTTTAGCACACGCAGAGAACTGTGCATGACGTGCCATGGTTGTCCACACATCTACTTCAACAGAGTTTAACTCTCTTCCACTGAGGTCATTGCGACACCTCCAGTTTCACTGTCAATATCTGTAGAATCACTTATTAGTTCCACTTCAGAATCAGATTGAGGCAAATCTGATTCAGAACTACTTGAACCACATTCTCTTTCACTAAACGATGGCTTTACCAATGAGTCTATGGACAAGGGCAACTTATCATCACTTATCTTCACTAATTGTGCTTCTGACTGATTCTCCAGAAGCAAGAGCTTTTGAGAAATAGAAACAAGCTTATTCATTTGTTCGTGTATTCCTCCTTTTTGTCTTGATTGAGCTGAAAGCCTTCCAGTTCTGTTCACAATAACTACTGTTGGTGGAATACTTAGGATCCTTAGCGCAATGCTGGACAACAGTCGGGTGTTATAGTAATCCCTTCCACCATGTGAGAGGAGACGTGTTCTCTGCGGCCCGCCAAACGATGTGTTTGCTCCAAAGTTTTTCTTTTGTGTGGTACTCGGCAGTGTCTGTCATCACGGCTATTTCATCAGTGTTGGGGACATGCTTAGCTACTTCCATAATTGTATCGAGAGCAGTAGATAATTCATCTGATAAATGTTGTCCTCTCTGTTGAGGATCCAAAAGGTTTGCTGCCAGATGAACTGGATGAGCGGAAAACTCAGATCTCTTAGTAAACGTTTGTTTTACCACTACTACTTTTTTGGACAGAGGTGAAGAAGGCAAAAGCTCGATTAGATTTTTATTCAGTTGTCTGAATATCTCTGGAACATTTGAAAGGCTTGGTGCATCTCATTCAAGTTTCTCGATAACATCTGAAACTGGTAGTAGCAAATTGAATGTTCCTATCTGCTTCTGAATGTTCATGGGAATAATCTGGGTTACTGTGTCATCTATTGAAGCACACTGCAAACAGTTCTTTCTGCACAGCAAACTATGTAAGCACTTTGTAGCTTTCCTTCCCCTGCTTCTCTTTCTGTAATTTCTTCAAAGTCTGATTAGCAACATGATTGTTGAATACTTTCACAGTTGCTTTGCAGTTTGCCATTATTGTCTTCATTGTATTCACACTTACTATGTCCTTTGCCAGAAGATTCAACCCATGAGCAAGGCAGCCAGATACTATTAAATGAGGATACTTTGCCTTTAATATTTGCCATGCAGCTTCCATGTTACTCACATTATCAGTTACAAGGGCTTGTACCCTGGAGGGACCTGCACTTTCCATTTCTTCACTCAGTAATTTGGCTATGTATTCCCCTGTATGACGAGAAGATTTGGTAACAGTTGCTTTCAGGGATATGAGTTCAGGTGTTGCTAACATAATGTTCAGTAAAGGATTTCCTTGTGCATCAGTCCATCCATCTGACATCAGAGTCAATGATTCTGCTTGACCAGTCTTTTGAATAACCATTGTTTGAACTCATCACACTCTCTCTTAGTGAGTATGACAAAGCGATAACATGATGGTAATTTATATGATGAGTGAATTAGTTTGTAATGTTCCTTCCAGTATTGATTTTTTTTCAGTTATGGAAAGAGGTGCACAACTTGCAAAAACAGCTCAAGCAGATGTTTCATCTGTCTTGTCTTGATCTTCTTTTGACATTTTGTCTACAAAGCTTGATAAAAAGCTTGACTGTCTTGAACAGTTACTCATGGTGGATTGCATATCTGGTGACAGTGATCTTGAAAGTGAGGATCCTGATTCTTTCCCCAGACCTGGTAGCACAACATTTTCATTTTCCATTTTTTGTAAATCTGCTATTTCACTTGAGCTACCAAGTTTCCTGCAACAAAAGGGAGGAAAGATTTTTATTTTAGCCTATTCTAGTCTGGCCTCATCCATCAGAAGTAAGGGAAGCGGCAGGGAGCTTGCTTCCCCCCTCCCTGCCAGAAAGAGCACTGCAGCTCAATTTGCTGCTCAGCTGCCCTGGGACTACAGAGCCAAAGGGATGTATAGTCTGGCCTCTGCCATCCACTAGAGGACTAAGCTTGCTCTGCTGGGTTGAAATAGTTAACTCTTTATTTCGTAACTTTAAAAAAAATTATTGTTAAGCCTAAGCCACTTCGGGTGGTTAGTGCAAGCAGAAAAGCAGGGTACAAATATTTTAAATAAATAATAGTCCAGAGTTGTATTAACACCTTTTAAAATTATAATGTTTTAAAACAATATAGATGCTATTCTATACCGTGTGTTGTTTAACATTAATTTGTTTACTTTACATAGGATTCCTGAAGTAGGCTTTTCTCAGATGATGTTGTTCCACTACTTCATTGTATTAGCTTTCTTTATCTGGCTTGTACTCTTTCAGGACAGTTTCTACATGTTATTAAATATTTCTTCATTCTTATTGCATTGGTAGCATGCTCTTGCCCGCAATATTTCCATCTACCAACGTTCTTCCTTCGGTGGCTTGAACTTCACTTATTTTTTTCTGATTTAGGCATTATTGTGACTACTTCAAACCAAAAGCACTAAAAAACTAACAGATCTTATGCAAACACTTCCAAGTTCCCCAACCCAAGAAAAGAAGTGCTGCTCTGTGTTTGCTGAACTGAAAGTGAAACAAAAATTAATCACAATTGTAGCTTTGGTTTTGATTTGACATGCTCAGCCAATTAGGTAAATTCATAACTTGATTTTTGTTTTGGATTATTATGTGAGTGTATTTACCCTCCTGTTTACAAATCAGTAAAACATATATGTACTCTCTCTCACACTTCCTAGGAAATAATCACCTGAAAAACATTAATTACAACTTTGAAACTGCCAAGCTTACCTAATATTGTATTGGCATCCATTCATTGTTACTAATGAATTTTACGAAACAATGAATTTTTAGAAATGGAAAATTTCCCAAGGAAAAATAAAGCATGGAAAATTTCCCGGAAAATTTTCCGGCCCACATCTCTGGTGGTGAGTGTCTACAATTCCCATTGTAGTCCTATTAGAGGTGCACCAATACATTGGTCCGATACCGGATCGGCACCAATATAAAGAAAATTGTCCATATCGGAGATCGGCCTGATAAATGGCCCGTGCATGCATGTAGCATCAATGCAGCATGTAGGCAGTGAGGAGCACTGCCCGGCAGCTTGGAGTGCTGCGTGCAGCTGGTAAGTCTGGTGTTCTAGAAGGGGAGCGGGGAGGGAAGGGGCGTGG